TCCATGATTAAGGGAGGGTACTACAGCATCTTTCCACGGCAAAGTAGTCAGCTGAGGAATCCCACAGAACTATTGCCCTAGACTGATGTAGTACCCCCCCTTAATAATGAATAATCAAATGGAAAAGAAAATGGAAACTGACATAATGGAAACTGCTATGTATAGATATATATATATATTTATAGATAGGGGGTTATGTGGGGGCTTGCAGGTGGCAATCTTAGAAATGCTTCACCCACGGCAGCTATATAAGCTCTCATCGTGTGCAACTTGAACGTAGCTTGTCCGCCAGAGACTATCAACTTACTGGTTCTTAGTAGGGAATAAGGGTATCTATTCCCTTCTTCCAGAGGAAGAGCCAGCAAGTTGAGGAATGGGAATTAGGGCCCATCCAGTTGGTTCAAGGTGGGACTGCTTCAAAAAGTTGATCTTCAAATGCTTCAAGTAGCCAAATCAGATTGTTGATTGACATGTTGGTACACGAAATAGCTCAGGTGTTCATGTTTCCAGCAGCTTCTACCATGCTCTGGTACTTCTCAGGTTATGGCAACTGGGTGCCGATGTGCGCTCGGCACTAATCATGGTAGGCTGCGCTGGAAAGCAAGCGCCTTCGACACAACAACAAATCTTTCAACAACCAATTTCCCGGACAGCATCACCCGCCTAGCGAGCAGGCAGGAACCAGCACTCGCCCTGCCTGTTTCACGTATGGGCTCAACAAACCGGGTATGCTTATAGTTATTGGCTGGGTTATGAAGCATTCTCAAGTACTATGCAAGGTGGACTTGGATGACCCTAGATCTCCGACTCCAAATATGATCTCTATAATTATCCGCTCTTTTGAAACGCCTGCTTCGAGGTTCAGAAGCGCTCAGGTTCAAGGATGTTCAAGGTAGGGCCTCAGAAGATGGTACCTTCCTTGTAAATGGGAATGCAGAACTACGTAAGCTTGTGGGGACGGCATATAGCAAACCCATGCATTCTAGGCAAAGCAGAAGTCTGACACGTTCCAGGGCCATCTTTGTGCAACGCAAGGGTCGAGGAGATGTGCCGAAATTCTGAACACATTTTTGGGCTTTGTGCCGTGGGCTTCCATATTACATAAGCTACTAGGATTGCAGGGGATTATTATCGGGATATTAGCCTCACCCCAAGCAGCCCAAACAGACTTATCCTCGTCCCGGGTCGTCCTTTTTTTGAAGCGCTGACTATCCTCCTATCGTAATTCTTTGAGGTTTTTCTGGGAAACAAGCATTCTGTGGGACCCTATTTTGTGTATGGCACTGGCCCAACAAGTAGACAAGACTTTCTATAGCCGGTCCCTCAACACAATTTTGCAGCGGCGGTAGTTTTAGTACTAGCACTGCTAGTGCGCGAATTCCGACTCCAAAGCTTAACATTATTTTGGGAACCTGAACCGTTTGGGAATCCTGAATTATCAAAACCTTCAGGTTCTTGCGGATGCCCACGCATAACCGGGTCCCACGTTACCGTGCCATTGTCAGGATATACTTGCAAGTCCTGGCGTCGATCATTGAGTGCCCTTCCAAAACTATCCCTCCAGGGGTCTTGATGCTCTGTTCAGCAATTCTCCAAGCCGAACCTCTTTCAGATGGCCATCGAGCGCCCCTGCACTTTCTCTGGCTACGGCATGCTTCGCCAAATGGCATGACATGTCTTGAGTTGCTTCTCAAACTGAAGGTTTGTGAGGTTTGTAGGAAACATACGATCGCCGATTCACGCTTAATATTCCGAAGTGTCCTCGTTCAATGGCCTTCTGATCAAGAAAGCATGTACAGGTCTGGGGTGTAGGGCGCCGCATTTTGGGTTGAGGACTTCCCGGTAAGCGCTGAGCCATCCATTTGCTCATGTGAGGAGTCTTGTCAACATCAGCAACGAGGCTTGGGCTGGTATGGTCCAACAAACACAACAGCCCCAGAGCCTCATTGAGTCAAATCGTGCGCCAAACATGATGTGTGGGCTGCTCCTTGCCTAGAGTCCACAGCAGAAAAACATGTTGAGTGTCCTGGTCAAAAAAAGACTTCGTCTCACCTTCACGCAGAAATCCCTCGGGGATCTAACGAAGCATTCTCAACGTTCTGGGCCCTGGCGTGGGGTGATTGTTGAATAATACCGCCTTGAAGCATTCCTCAAGACTGCAGCCCCAGCACCAACCAATGCACTGCAATAAAAAGCACCACACTTTTCAAGACACCACAAAAACGAATCCAGAATTTGGACAGACTTCCGCATCTCTCGCGGCCTAGCAGCTTGTCGAAGCAGGCTTTCCGCTCCTGCTCCACCAAGACGACACGCTCCAAATCCGAAAAGAAAAAAAAAGTAGCGGCCCTACCAACGTTAGCCAACGGAAAGGCCTGTGGACCGGACCGATAGGAAATAACCTCAGGAATGCGTGGCTCTTTGCTGGACAGGTGTCGTGTACAAGTAGGCTTAGGATGGAGATGGATTCTTACCGGAGCTGTTCAAGGGAAGTCCTTTGGCTGATTTGGTGCCCATGTTGCAGGATAGGGAAATGGGCCACTTACACCTACCAAAGCTTCAAAGCATATGGTCTCAGGTGTTTCAGTGTTTCACCAATACGGCGGGGCACTGGTTACATTAGCTTCCGCGTTTTGATATCGCTTCCAAAGAGTGACCTGACCTTGCTGATCCTTGATGGATGGCGACTCTGCACCAAAACCACAGTTCTTCTGGAACTCCAAAGCCGACTAGATCCATCAACCAAGTAACCCTTGCCCTAAACTAAAACTGCACGTTTGCCAACCTGGCCGGCAAAACTACTGCCACGACAGAGGCAACATGGTAGCACTCTCCTCCAGACCCTCCGCGGCCCATTCTCGCCTGTGACAAGTTTAGTGCCGGGTGCGAGTGGTGCGAGATGCTGTGAAAAACCACTAGCACAAGCTTACACGGAAACACCGCATATGTGGTCCACGAGGCTCACAACGCTATATGGCAAACATGAGACCTAGTTAGTTACATGCCAGTGTACGGTTTGTGGGTAAAGTACTTGTACAGCACTTAAGAGATGATGTTTGGCGGGATCTTGGCGGGGCTTGCACTTCAGCAGTTGGGGTGGCACTGAATATTTGACAGAAGCGCCAGACAACAGTGCGACCGATGAAGCACACGCCATGATCCTGAAAATCAGCAGGCATCACCCATATCGGGGCTACTCTCACATAGGCCCCGGCACCAGGGTCTGCAGCAATGATTGCACCTTGAGCGGCAAGGGCTCTACTCAAATTGTCGTTGCAAATCACAGACAATCTGCAACAGCATACTGTGCACTGCAACGATATCATGATTTTCGCAGCTCGGCATTCCACACAGTACCTCAAGATGATCAACTGCTTGCGCTGCTGATCTTGGTGCGCCACAGGTTTGGTACCAACTGGGATGTTGATCCCAGAACCCCTTTCAAGCAGTCTGCCATAGCAACTTGAGTGCTTTCGGGGTAGTAGGCGTAGTGTTGAGTCAGGGGAACATTCTATGCCTAATCCGTCATCGAGGTTTTCAGATCACTGGTATCAGCCATCACTTTATCTAGAGTTTCTTTGCACAGTGTTAACGAAGGCAAGCTGATTACGTATAGGCAGGGCCGAATCTTTCTCCTTGTATGAAACGGGAAACATGTCCAAACCCTCGAACAAAAAAAACGCCAAAAGCCTAGGGCTGTTTGGGCAAAATCTGATTGAGGAAGCCTGGAAACCGGCCTGGTAACTGAACTCAGAAAGGAAGCCTTGCCCCGTGACATAACTTCTCACTCTGGCATCTGAGCTCAAGCACAGAAAAGTCATCAGATTCAAGCCTGACACCAAAAAACCCTGCGAAAATACTAAACTTCACGCACCCGCACATTCAAGGTTGTCAAAATTATGGTCCTGATTTGGATACTCAAGGCCGTATTATGGCGGCAACCCGGAAAGGCACTACAATTTTGATAGCCCTCCACATACTCCCTCTACAATCCTCATGCAAGCAGCGCGTCCTGGCTCCCTTCTCTGCCGTTTGGGACTCCTTGCAAAGTTGAGCTTCGGAAGCCGCTTAGGGATATCTGTGACTATTATTTGGGCATGGTTCGGGATGATTGAAGATGGCACGGGGATAAATTGGTACAGGGCCCCAAATCCGTAAGTGAATCGATCAAGTTATTGACAACAAGTGCGATTATTAAGGCTGTCACAACCTCACTTATTTACATGAGGGTCCCCTTGCGTAGGTGAGAACCTGGCATCTTGAACGCAAAGAATAGCAAAGCTGCCATGGAGGACCAACGTCTCAGGTGCACCCCCACTAATCTGCGGCCTGTCCGGGTAGGCACCCTATTTCATTGAATTGTACAGAATACTAGTAGAGCTGGCAATCCGGCAAAACGCAGCAAGCTCAATAAATTCAGATCACATGTGTGCCACCGACAATGGTATGGGCAATCCTGCATTTTCTCGGGCTTGAGTACGCCCAAGGCGGTCGATTGAGTAGATTCTACTTGTTCCCTCCGCCCCAGGTGGAGCTGTCCATCATGATCCCAAAACTCATGCAGACACAATATAGTAGTAGTTTGCAAAATAGGAGGATCCCAACATAGACCCCAACGTACTATAATCCTGGTTAGGGGGGCTCCCAAAAAAAGTACTTCTAAATTCGGGAACTTCCCATGGTATACGTCAGAAGAGCAGTTCTACTACACCCTAAACCCTAAACCCTTACCTTCCGCAGGATTGTTTCCAGCATCTCGAGGACAAGCAGAGTGGCCGACACAGCCTGGCTAAGTCATGTCAATGCTGTTGATACTAAGAACCCTGCATGACCTCAGTGTAATATAATACTTGAATTCCGGAGGTATGAATAGGAACCTTCTGAGATGAAGTTGGCAGTTTTGAGAGTTGGCTTTGAGGCTCTTGGGCTTCAGGGTTTGCGGGATAAAGGCTATGCATCTGAATAATGTTGACGGACCTGTCATGCAAATCTATTTTTCCTCACTGCATCTCTTGGAGGAAGTCCACAGCTTCGTCCAGGCTTAGGGAATCGTTGCAATCGGAGGAGCGGCGAAACGTGGCCAGGTCCTTGGATTTGAGAATAGGCTGTTGCAGGGTACATACGGGAAGTCCATTTTGTCATGAATAGCGATATGCTTGCATGCGCTCTGNNCCCCCCCCCCCCCCCGGAATGTTGCAGTGGATGTTTGAGTTTTTATGGGGCCCAAGTTTGATGCGACTTCAGCTATTTCATCTCAGAGAAGGCTTTTCGTTTTCGGGTTACGGTTTGGTTTGAAGGTTTGTGGGCTCAAGGCATTGCTCTCATGGTTCCAACTGCTGTGACCACCAGGTCTTCTAGAAACAGCCATCGCTCTCTCGTGAGTTCGCTGTACAGAAAGAAATGTATGACTTTTATCAGGGCCATGCTCTGCGCCTATCTGCGTCACTGTCCACAGGATCTGCGTTGCAGCAGTACGAATTCAGCCGGTACCATGAAGCTGTGAGCAACAAACCCCATGCAAAGCCACAACGCGAGCTTTAAAGTTCAATGCAAAACCCGAACATCAAAGCTCACGGTCTTTAGCTCTTCTTTGGGGACCTCACCATTAGGGGTTGGGAGGATGTCCTTACAGCACTCAGATTCTGTTCCTGCTATTCCAGCATTAAGGCCTGAAGCCATGTTGGAGAAACCGCCGTCACAAAATGATGAAACAACCCTTCAATATGAGCCAGCTGAACCACTAGCCCACAGCATCTTCCTCCATTAGAAGCATCATGGGCCAATGAAGTCTCCAAAATTCACACTCAATGCCGCAGGGAGACATCTGCCGAAAAGAACTATATGTAATCCATCGTTTGCGCATCCCCGTACAATCTGCTGCCATCATCTGCTGCCCAAAGACGGTTTGGAAGTCGCTTCTGCTGTACTCTCGCTTCTCCTTGGTGACTGCAAGCTTACAACGGGCAGCACTGAGAGGTCAGGTCTCCTGCTCGTGTCTGGAATACCTACAGAGGTCTTTGTGGCACTGCATGGTCCAGACATGCAGACCCTTAGTTCATTGTGTTCTTGGATATATGACCGTTTGCTTAAGAATTATGGGCCTTTGTAATTAGAGGCCATGCCGCAGTGCCTCTCAAGCGCTCGACTGTCTGCACGACCAACAAGCACGATTTACCGCAATACCTTCCCCCAGCTCACCGAAAGGGCACACTCATTGCCAATAGGGCGGAGGCTGAGGTTGTAATGGGACTGGTCGCGTACTGCAGGCCCTACTCGGCCCTACTCATAACCCACGGGCTCCCCCGAAGGCAGTTGAGGCTCCGATTCTGTGAAGAGGAGGTCGTAAGCCTGATGCATCGCAACAGGTGGAATCAGGAGCCCATTGCTGGATCCAGTGTACGGCCCCGTAGCCAGGGGTGTGAAACGGCCACATGGGCACTTGACAAAAAAAATGGTCAAGATTCTGCATCCCAAAGATAGCAAGGAGTAGCTGCACAGCTTCCACGAGCGAGGGTTGTAGTTCGCCCAAGCAAGGCAAGTGTCCAACCCAACCCTGGAACCCCTCTCCAGATCAGAAGCCATTTGGCCATGCTTAGTCCGGCCGTAGATGGGTCCGAAATGTCCAAAAACCCTGCCAGGAGCACGACACCGCCTCATCCTGACACCATACTAAACGGAAGCAGCCATTGGATGTCTAACCTTGATCCACACATCCTACCACCTTGCGGGGCATGTACAGATCCCATGTTCGCTTGGCGCATGCCCGGATAATTTCATCCCACTCAAATAACGTTCACTAAAGGTACCTGTTTCTTGCACCTGCCGGCCGCCTTGTCCACATTTCCACATCATAGCCGGCACTTGTACTGTAGTGGGAGTCGATCGTACCCTCCCAACCCTTGACTCAGCAACTCTCAGCCACCGCACTTCAAGCAACACTGGCCCAGAGCCCGCAAATCTCCAGCCTTGTCAAGGGACACGGTGACCCTGCGCCAGGAGCAGCGATAGGTAGCTTCTTACACGACACGGGTGCATGAATAGTGGTAAGACACCCTCAATTTCCTATCAAATTACATTCCAAGGTCGTATGCTTCCCAGTGAAAACCGGATGCACATGGACCTGAACGCCTTGAAGCGGGTATGGGCTGAGCTGGCAAGCAATTGCCCACACGAGACGTGTTGAGGCTGCTTTACAGGACAGGCAATGCAGCTTGCGCAGTAGGCAGTTCATCCCACAAGTTGGAAAGCAAGGCATATTCATGGACCCCTTGATACCACGAGGGAACTGCGGTATGGGGAGTTTCACTTTTTGGTTGGCCGCGAAATGGGCTCCTTGTTGGGAGGGCCCTTAGCGTTTGACGCCCAGGGGAGGATCTCGAAGATGTTGGGGCATCCGTGCTGCATCTCCTTTATTCTGACCTTTGCTACGCTGCCACGAGTTGTGCACCAAAGTGCAACTGTCCCCGACAAAAAACAACGCCCTCTGAAGCCAAAGCCCCGTACATTGAGCGGGGCGGGCAGCGCGACGTAGACACGTTCCTTGAATCTTGCCACAATGCTCGGGTAAAGATAACTTCCTCCACCAACGCTCATCAAGAGGATGTTATTAAGCGCTGCTAACCAGCGCGAAGCTGCGTGTGTTCCAAGAATCTGCAAGTAGCCTGGGATCCTCAGCACGATGCACGTAGGAAAGATCATCCTGCTGGCACACCCCAACTCTCTCACATGGCTGGGCCTCTCGAGTGATGAATCTCGTGGCCATGTGGCCTTCCGCTTGTCCATGGTGATTCCAGGTAGTATTACTAGTAGCAGCAGTAGTCGTAGTAGTAGTAGTAGTAGCAGCAGTAGTCGTAGTAGCAGCAGTAGTAGTAGCAGCAGGAGTAGTAGTAGTAGTAGTAGTAGTAGTTGATCGCTCCTCGTAAGAGCGAACCCCACGCCCCACTGGTAATGGATGCTGGCAAGCCTACACCTGTAAAATGGCGAAAAAATCAGTGCGATAATGATCTTTATTGAGGTGTTAATTATTGGGGCGAGGCAATCTGCATAAGCCTTGTTTCCACATGTTCCATCTGGTTCTCCCTTATCTTAGTAGGGCATACGGGAATATAAGCCCTGTATAATCCCTATCTGCTATGTTCCTTTCTACCCTACTAAGAACCGGTAAGATTATCGGGGAGTGGATTACTTGCGTCAGGAAGGAGCCATTCGAGACGATGATTTTCGGTAGAGTTTCGGGCTTATCTAGTAACAAGAGACTTGCGACTACCCAGTGCAATGCTGCTAGGCCTTGAAATGCCAAGGTGTCAGGTATCCCAGAACTGTGGATTTGGTTGCAAAGCACCTTTCATGATGAAAATAGTTGGTACCTCACAGCTACATTTGCAAACTTGCCTCCGAGGGTAGGTTGTCTAAATCATCTGTCCGTTTGGGTCCATAACATGATATGGTACCTTATGTTTTGGGCATCCAACAACGTACGTTCATTCATTGTTCTTTTTAGCTGCTTAGTGGTTGCTGCGAAGCAGGTGGATCCCCATCTAGTCCCCATAATATTTTGTAGTTTCCATTTTCTTCTCCATTCCTGACTCCCTACTCGCAATTAGCAAGTTAACCCTAAACTTTTAACAAGATAAATGCTCTAATCCCTCTGAGCTCCTACAAGACCCAATGTCCATTTCATGCTCCAGATACCTTTTCCACATGATTCTCCATTCCCTACCCCGAACCCTAAAGCCCACAGTATAATCCACTAGTATAGAACCACAGCTGCCAATTCATGAGCCATGTTATCGTCCATGCGACGCTACATTCCCTGCCCCAAACCATTTTTACCCCAAACCCAAAACCTCTATAAACCCTCAACCTTCAACCCCAACCCCTAAACATTTAATCCTAGATATGAAAGCTTAGGGGAAATCCCTGCAAATCCCTTCCCATCTCAATCTGAATTCAATTCTCAATTGACCCAGGGCCCTAAGCCTTCAACACTAAGCCCTAAGGGAAGACCTTAGCCAAGCAGTTTCCATTTGCCACCTCACTCCCCTGGATACCCATACATACCCGCTTTCGTATGTTTTTTTCCCATAAACGCGCGCCTCCAAGCCATTATGCGCTTCTTGTCCATTTCATTCGCCATTCCCTACCTTCAGCCCTCTAAAGAGAAACCCTTGCAATCCCTATTCAATATTCCTGGATCTTGTAGCTTCCATTTGCTTTCCATTTCCCTGTCTACCCCTACCTAAGCCCCATATTCCTACTGGATCTTAGTAGGGAATAAAAAGCATATATTATCTAGGGATGATATTCCCTTTTTCCCTACTAAGAACCAGTAAGTAAAGCTCATACGAGCAACAGTCTAAACTCCCAGTATCCCCCTTATTCATATTCCCCTATATAATCCCCTATATAAAGCCCCCCCCTTTAAGGAAATTCAACCCTAAACCCTTAGACTATAGCTCATATTCACCCTTTCTTGCGGGCTTCGCAGAGCAAGGCCTCAAGAGCCTTTCTCCGTTCCGCGGTCATGAGAGGGTCGGCCTCCAGGCGACTCGCCTGCACAAAGAGCTGGGCTTACTGGTTCTTAGCAGGGAATAAGGGAATATATTATATAGGGGCTATATATTATATAAGGATTATATATCCCCATATTATAGGTGTTATATAAAGGGATTAGATTCCCCTATTCCCTACAAAGAACCAGTAAGTTGGTTTTACACTGCGGTGCGACTGAGGCCTTCACTTTTGAAAGCACTTATCTTTACCATGTCAGCTTGAGCGCTACGCGGGCCTTAATCACGCATTATCCCAAAGCGAGATCATTGCTTCAGTTCTTCCAGCTTGCTTTCGTGCCGCTGATAAAAGTAAATCAACCCAAGCCCTCTGGATGCCTTTGGATCACGGTTCGAATTCATGCGCAGGATGTCTATACTGGACCGTGCTCCGGAAGGCCCGGACGCGCAAGATGCTAAGGGCGACGTGAGGCATATCAGCAGTCAAACTCGCTGCCCCACCCATGATCCATTTGCATGTCTTTTTCTTGTGCGAAGGCCTCCCAACTGTAAACATCGATGAGCTTGCCCCTAATATTGATTTTGCATTGCACACCTTTTCATCACAATGTTGTTTTCAGCTTCTGGTCACCCCTGTATGTGATCCAGCTAACCGCTAAGCCATGTACCCTCGTCCTGGGCATCTTGTGTTCAAGACTGCTGTAACTAAATCTTATATGGAGCCCAAACTTGCTGAGGAGCTTACTCAAGCCGGCCGAGGTGATGCCTAAAGGTGCTTCTTCTGAAGAGCACAGTGTGCTTCTAGATTCTCATCAGTAGTTGAGGATATTTCTGTTGTCTTGAGAACCATTCGCGACGCTGTTATGTACAAAGTGGATAAAGTCTCTTGCAGCTGGCCAAGGGTGGGAAAGCTCCCTTTCGATAGTATGAGTTCGCTTCGTCTATTACGAAGTACAGAAAACTCCACTTGCATTAGATTAGGTGTTAGAGACAGTCTCCTGAAAAAGCTTTCGAAGGTCTCGCCAATACTATCATGAACTCCTGTGCTTTGGAGCCAGATGGCCCTTTGACTTGCTTAGCACGAACCGAGACTGTCTTGTTAGAGTCAGAATGTCCGGAAAGCTACAAAATCTAATGCTTAGTTTAATAACTTGTTGGAAGAGCCATTCACAGTCAAAACAACATACTTGAAAGAAGCATTGTATAATAGTGCAAGTATACGCAAGTAACAAAGTTCCTACACTCCGACGCTGATGGTGAGAAGGGCTATTAAAAATTTAGAGTTCAGACTTAAACAGCTTAGGAAAATTGGGGTCAGGGCACCAAGACATGGGATGGGCTTCACCTAATGCCCTCTGATGACACTCGGCACTGTATCTAGATGAACTGTTGTGTAGATGTTGCTAGAAAACGTATGGCATCAGAAAACCAAAGCCTGAAGCCCCAACTCGGTTCATGGCCTACAAGACTCTCCCACCACTTATAGTCCCCCTCAAGTAGTTAGAATATGATGTATATGGGGATCCTAATATGACTTTGGGGAATTCCCTTCTTGGAAGCCCAAAGCTTTGCTGGGACCTCGAATGCCTCCAGACGCGCCCTCAAGCGCTCTGCAGCCACCGCAGGCGAAGCCTAGCATCCAAAGATGAAACTATGTGTAAGGGGGGGGGCAAACAGAATATCGGGGCCGTGGTCGCGGCAGGAGAAGTAACAAGAGTCAAACTGCCAAAGAAACCATAAACTATCAGCAAACACGCCCAAACCAAATTCAGGTAAGGCTTCTGTCCAGGAACTATGCCCCAATGTCATGAACAACTCTTAGCACAAATGCCATCAGTACTCAGAGAAACTTGGGAGTGCATCATGTGACAAGTCTGGTGAGAGGTTAGCGCTCACGTCTCCCTTGCACAGTAACCAAACATCGTCCAGGGCCGCAAACCTTGAACTGTAAATCTGACGTTTAAACAGTGAGACCCCTTATCCGAGATCCTGGACACACTTGGGACGAGGGGCGAGCTGGTCCCCTTCAAGCTTGCGCAGTGTTACCGCGCGTACTGCAGGTCCTGCTGGCACCAGATAAAGCAGTCAACTGGGTGTGTTCTTCAGGTTTCAAATCAAGTCATCTAGCACTGTATGAAGTTTGTTCAGGAAAGCTGTCCAGTCGAGAAGTCAAGCTCTGATGATTGGATGGAAATCTTGGGGCTCCAGGCAGGCTCCTGTCACCAGTCCCTGTACACCGCCCAATTCTCAGCTGCCTAGGGTCTACCGTGTGAATCCAGGCTGAATGAGTCCCAGCCGGACCAAGTCAAGGAACTGCAAAGCGGCGAATCACATTACATGTACATGTAAAACGTGTCAACTTATACCCTGAAGCGCAGACTTGTCTCAAGGCAAACCAAACCTCGTTTCCGGGAGGTTATCCGACACTGACAATCTCTCTATGGCACAGCAGCAAAAACTTCTCTCCAGCGAACCCCCATGCTCAAGCAATTCTGGGTTGTGCGTGGCAAGCCCCTGTCATCAACTCCTTCGGTCCCACGTCTCTCTCGAGGTCTACGAGGCTCACCAAATCGAATGCCAGGGAGAGTAAGGACACCAAAAAGTCCTAAGAAATGGCTTCTGGGAGGGCGCCATGTCGTAAAAGGGCTCCTGTTGCATCTTTTCGTTTCAAAAGGGCAGGTTTACCCAGGAATTATATCAGCTCACAGCCACACGATCAGATTCATAAACTTGGCCAACTATTCTGCGGCTGTTACGAAGTCATGGTTTAGAAGTTGGCCGTCTAAATTACATATATGATTTGGGTACCGGCTCTGTCCACCCGAACGGCCGAACGCCAATGCACCAAGCAAGGGAATGAGGACTTGGCATTCCTATACCAATGTATTGGAGCAAAACATGCTAGTCCGACATTTGGAACTTCAAGGTCCTTGAATCTGCTAGCCAGCACAGTCAAAACCGTCACTTCAAATGCGTCCGCTTCCAAGGGCACGCAGTTTGGATCGCTCCAGAGCCGAACCAGAGGATCATTCAAAACCCCCACGCACACGGACACCGCGCACTCTCAAAGATGAAACTTAGCCCACACAAACTCCCACAAGCACAGGGCAGATCTCCGTGTCGTGAAAGGAGATGACAACATAGAGCCCCCCAGCTCGAAGCATGCGGTAGATACAGCCTGGACCGGTAAGGCCAGTTGGCAACCACCAACAGTGATGACAGTGTTTCTCAAAAAGGCAACAACATCATTTTGCAACTGTTGGGGATCAAATGTCTTGCATGGTGCATGTACCAAGTGAGTTCTGCCCTTGAAGTACGCAATGCGATCCCGACGATGTGCATCCCGCAGTCGCGTGAGCTAAGAACCAGTCAAGATTCATCACGTTACCGCGGCTCGTAGGCATTTTTGCATCATGAGCCTGTAGCTACCTGGCCTGTAACGTAGCAGGCTTATCCGGAGATGCGTGTGAGTTGATATAAGACTGTAGCAGCATCCTTTCTCAGAGGACCTCCTCAAAGATCCAAACGATTGAAACAAGAGCCCCTGCAATTCGACAAACCCCCTACACCTTGAAGTCGCCTCAGTTAGTGTTGCGCTCACTTTTGTGTAGGGACCCTCTTTAATGCGTTTTCGCCGCCGCTTATCCAGGACATGGCCATTGTTTGGGTGACCCTGTTTAATGTGTAGTTTTGTTGTTGGGGCCCTAAAACTACGGGACCGAATCCAGACCATCCCTTTTAAAATATTCTCCAAGTCCTCCCGGGGCCCTCAGTACCGTGGGACCCTTATGTAGGGCATCCAATTTCAATTTTTCTGGGGGCCCCGTTGTTAGGGGGGAGGGGGGCCCCTAAGATCTAAGAGGGTGCAAAATTACAAGACTCGCAGCCCAAGCTCCACACTGACAAAGGGCTCTGCAGTTGGAAAGAGAGGCTGCAAGCACTGCCATACTGAATCTATGCTCGGGTCTCAAGTCAAGGTTGGAGACAGCCTCCAAAAGCCCGAAACCCTAACTGAACGTTACCTATGCTAATTACATCTAATTACCTGAATCATTTAGGACAGCAAGCTCCCCAACATCAAGATGGAGCCGCGCAGCATATCAGCCCAGCTGCAGCATCACTACAAAGGAGGCCTTGGGAAGGGGGGTGGGCTTTGGGAGTCCCGGCTTTAGCAAGTAGATTCAGGGTGGTAGCTCCAAGCGTGCCACTCAGAGATCTGCTTGCCAACATAGGTCGGTGCTGACACATTTCATTCAACAGTTTCCCCGAGTCTCCCTTCTTGACAAGGTCTTAACCAGTGGATGTTGAGGAGAATGCCGAAGGAAATTTGTCCCAAAACAAATCCCAGCGGCAATCCAGGGTGCTCTTGTCCACCACCAGATCTGCACTCGAATCCGCCACCACCTCCCCAAGCCCACCCGAACCGGGGTTTGGGGGTCGGCAGGGCAAGCGCTTGGAAGCAAATAGGGGGCTCCGTTTTCTGAGTCCCCGAGCATCCCTCAGCGATATCACGAGACGTGCCAATGGTTCGTTCTGTCATTCCCGGTCCGCCAAATCCTCGATAGTTTGCCTCAGCTGTTGATTCTGTCGCCACGATACGCGACGAAGCCGCTGAGTCCTTACGCTTAATTAGTTCTTGAAGGCCCCCCCCTTTCCAGAGTCTGAAACCAACAGCCGAACTTCAGAAGCCACATCCAGTAAGAAGATCATAGTTCAGAACTTGACTTCATAGCGAGCAGTTTCTGATAGCACTTCCTCAGACTCAAGCTTGAAGATCACAAATCTCCACAAAAACCCTGGACCCCCAATGCCAGCATTGCTGAAGACCACACCTTACATCCCAGAACCTACATCCCCGCAGCAGATCTTTTCCCCCCGGCCTCCCCACTCACTGTGAGGTCTCCCAAAGCAAAGGTAAGGCCAGGAAGCTTAGCATGCCGCGCCTTTTTGGCAGTAGGAGGCTGACAAGAAGTATGGGTTGGGTGTTGCCCCCACCCTTTAACAGTCCATATTAGGGGTCAAAGCAAGGGCTATATATTACTACAATATATATATTATCAACTGTTACAGAGTGGGGGCAGTACCCACACTACGGGGTGGGTTCCCAAAGATGAGGCTACATTTTTCGGGGGTCTCTATTGTAAGGATTCTATTTGGGGGGGAATACTGGGGACCCCCTCTTTATGGAAACTACCACAGCAAATCTAGCCGTTAGAATGACCTTGGTACTGGAGTAATCATGGCCACATGGTACGAGTAAGCCTCACAGCCCCAATAGGAGACAGAGATGAGAAGTATAGTGGCAGTGGTGACGAATATAGTACAGTACCAATTGGAAGTGCAAGTTTGCATGGCTTGATTGATACCAGGACTCAGCATATGGCTTTCTAGTTTTCAGCTTCAGGAGGATGGCGTCTCAAGCGACAATGGATTCCGGCCAGAAAAAAGATCTCACAATCTTCTAGGAATTATCAGGGATGGGGCGCGAATTCAAAATGATTTGCAAAGTGTGGGGGCCCAAACCTTTGCCAGCACTAGCAGCGGGACTTTTGCAAAAACTGCCATGACCCTGGAGGTAGATTTAACACCAATGAAACCAGGCCTTCATGTGGCGGATAACCGCCTCGTCATTGTCAATCGACAGCACCTGGTAACAGCACTCTTCACTGAGGGATTGCAGGCGTTTAGGTATCACTAAGGCTCGGCTACTGCAAGACTATGCACTAGCGCTTTGATGCAGAAGCTATCCTAAAAGAGGTGTCCCACTTGTGCTAGCGGCCCCCTGGTGCATGCAGCACAAAGCCCATTGAACAGCTTTCGTCCATCCAACTCGCCTTGTAATGTCCAAGAGTCAAGAGCCGAGGGCTACCTTCGAGATAATGACAGTAAGATTCCTGCATGGTTCAATCGCAGGTATATTATGCCTCCCTGCATGAAGCATGAGGCTGGGATGATGCCGTCCCAAGATAGTAGGCCAGCATTCGCAAGACTGTGTGTGCAGCCTAAAACAACCCGAACACTCTTTTGTCTGTCAAATCCTGAACATCCCCAAGCCTTGATTCCTTATTTGAGCCATTGTCTAAACTCCTAGTATCCCCCTTAATAATCCCTATAGTCGTCCCCTATATAATCCCCTGTATAATCCCCTATATAACCCCCCTTAAGGAGTTTAGACTATAGCTCATTTGGGGTCAAGACGCTGGAGCCCGAGATCGGCACGTTGCGAAACCCGGCCACTTGGTGGAGGTCTTTGGAAAGGTCCGACCTGGATCTCATTAGGGTTTAGGGTTTAGGTGTCCCAAGATCTGCAGAACCATATGCCACACTTCAACCTGTTCTACTACATTTGCGGCGCCCTCATTTCGATAGACATATTTGCCTGAGCCCAGAACCCGGAATGCAGAAATGCTCTGACGCTGACATTTAAACATGAAGCCATCCCTGTGTGCAACCAGGAAGGTCTATTTGGTACGTTCTCGATCAAGCCAAAGTTACACGCTTCCAGCCAGGGAACATCAAAATCAAGATAAGCAGTCCAAAGGAGAGTCTGCGAATGTGTTTATACTATAATATACCCTATAATACCCTGTTGTACTACAAATATACTATAATGTACTATAACAAATATACCATAAGATACTATAATGTATCATCTGGGCCTCTGCAATGTCTGCACTGCTCCTTTTCTTGCCTCTTGCTGCTGGGGCTTGCTGTATTTCTGAACTTTAATGGGCTGGTTAGGCGGGCCCGAATCAAAATTGGATTTTGAGTCAGAAGCACAGCCCAAAGCTCTGACTGACTACACGCGGAAGGGCAACAGGAAGCAAGCCTGCAGCGCAGGCACGGCTATTTTGGAACTACGCAAAAATATGTCAGAAGTAGAGTCTAGGCACGGCCGGCAGCTTGCCACACAGCCAGTGGAAGTGACTCTCGGGAATCAGTGCGACTCCTTCACAACACATGACATTACATTACACAACATTGCATGACATTGCTTCGTATTACAAGCATGTTCTGCGCTGAGTTTTAGGGACAACTCCCAATGGCATGAGCTCCAGCCAAG